TTTAAATACTCGACGAGACGAATATAATTTCTTTCATTTCTTATTTGTCCTTTGTTGACATTTTAAAAATACACAAAAATTCGTCGATTATAATAAAAACACCGAGTTTCAAATAGACCGCCATTACTACGTCAGTTTTTTACTACTCACAATCTTAATCTTTTTTTTTTTAAAAAGATTTTCAAAAAAACAAAAATTACTTGTCTCTCCTCACCCTTTCTCTCTCTCTCTCTCTCTCTCTCTCTCTTTCTTTTTTTATCTTCATAGTATATAAGTCATAAAATTATTTTGTTCATAATTTTGTCTTCCATCTCATTCTACAAACGTTTCGAGACACAACTCCTACGCATACATAATAATAATAATAATATTGCGAATAATCTTCTTTTCTTTAATGTTTTCACACAACATTTGATGACTTGCTTTTACATTTAAAAAGATCCGCCATGTTTCAACTCACTTTTCCTTTTTTTCTTTCAACCTTTCTCGCTCTCACTCTCTCTCTCTCACTCTTTCATTCTAATCTTCCTTCCTTCCTTCCTTTTCTTTCCTTTCCTTTCTTTCTTTCTTTCTCGCTTTCGCAGGCGCACTAAAATTTAATTCTCTTTCCCAATTAAATGTCGTATTATTTTTCTTTACTGGTTGGTTGTTCCTTGTATACAAACTTACTTGCTAAAAAAATGTACCATCATCCTAGAGTGTACTCTCTTTTTTTCTGTGTTATGTATGTATGTATGTGTGTGTGTGTGTGTGTATATTATATCTTATCTCTCTTTTTTTTTGTTTCTTTTCTTTTCTCTTTACTTTTGTTGTTGTTGTTGTTTGTTGTTTTTTTTTACGATTACAAGTACGTGGCGATGGAGTATTTTAATACAGCTCATTCTCTTATATACTTTTATAATATATAATATTTATATATCTATATATATATCTATATATAAATATAAATATATAGATATATACAACTTTTATAGTTTATATACTATGTATGTTATATAATATTCTTATTATATCATTATACTTGAGGTCTGACGAAACCTGAATTTTCGTGTTACTTGCTAAAAAAACGTATCATCTCGACGTTAGAAATATGATGCGAAATGCATTTAAACAACGACAATTTTCAAAATTGTTTGGAGGATAATTTTCAACTTTCATTTTCATTGATTTGTATCTTCCAATTGTACCGTTCCCCTTTGTAAAATTATAATGAACAAATTCAAATTCAAATTTACATTAATAATTTATAGATAGATCATAAGTCAAAATGTATTAACAATTATTTGTCTGTCCATATCCATGAAAATCTGATGCATCTGTTTGTAATTTTACAAAAAGATACATCAAATTAATAATTAATTGTTCTTATTTTGTATTGAACATTATCATTAAGTATGAAAATATCATATTTCAAATAAATAATACTTCAATAAAGTTGATATTAGATCTATCACAAAATGTTGTCTGTTAAGTTCAAACAAACATTAGTTCAATTTGTCGTCACTAGGGGAATATTACAAATTACCGCCATGTTGAAAAGAGTTGAAATTTAATGAATTGTTTCAAATGATAATTTTATATTTAAAAAAATCGACACAATTTGTCAATAGATCTAATATTAAATGTATAAAACACATAAATTGTGTCTTAAATTGTTCAAAATTATCATCCTCACTTTTCTAAATTCTCTTATTTTCCAAAGAATGTTCATTTTGTTTTCTACTTTCAATGAAAAGTTTTTTGCACAAAAGGAATACAACCAAATTAACGTTTGATTCGTTTCATCATCGTTTACAAGAAAAGAAAAAGAAAACCACATTCGTATCACATTTCTAACCAGGCAATATACGTTTTTGTTACATTTATACAGTACCTAAACATATTCAACACTATCTGCGCCATCATATTGACGTTGAATTAATGTTTAAACACGTACAAGATACTTCACGACGAACATAAATGTTATGATAATAGGTTGTGAGCGATCTTAAAACCGAACAGTTATTATTGGTATGGCAAGAGAAAACGGCAAGGAGGATTTAAAACAAAACAAAAAAAATAATGGCACAATTGATAACTCTAGAAAAAAAAAAAGAAAAAAAAAAAGAAAAAAATTACAGACAAAAATAGGAAACAAAACAAAAAATAAAAAATAAAATCAACACATTGATAACGCAAAATTCATTTGGATAACTAGAGTGAGAAAAATCCTTTATCCAAAATGATCACAGTCCACGAGGGTTGGTTATTTTATCTTTACAAAAGGTTTGTTATTATAAATTAAAACAGTTTTACAGAAACAAAACTGTATACTTATTTTAACATAAAATGTACTGTTGTTGTTGTTGTTGTTTGTTGTTGTATACACGTATCAAAAAGAAAAATAAAAAACAAAATAATGAAACCCTAAATATATATTTATATATATATATATATATATATATATAATATATTTAAATGTGGACCAGAAAAGTAATGTCGTTTGTTAACCTCAAAATTTAAACAAAATTAATTAATTAAATAATCAACAATCTTTGTCTATCTGATATAAAAATTTGTAATAATTGTAACGAATCAAAATCATCAAAATTAGATATTTTTTTTAATTTGACACGCGTAGTAACGGCGCCATTACTTTTCAGTCCTTCCTAATATATTTAAATACACGTACTGTACCTTTGTTTTTTTTTTTTTTTTTTACAAAGGAACAGAAACTTACGAATGTAATCAGTACTCAACGAAGATTAAACAGATCTAACGAAAAATATCTATAAAAAAAAAAAACAATGTAAAAATCATATAAAAAAAAAAAAAAGAAAAAAAACCCTTCAAACAATCTCAACAAGAGTTTGTTCACAAAAGTAGATTTTTTTTTTTTTTTTTTTTTTTTTTAGTACGATTATGATAAATCGTAAAATATATATATATATATATATAGTATAAATATATGTACGCACTTATGTATATAAAAAGTAGTATACATATACAAGCACAATTTTGGAACTATATCGTAAAATATAATAAAATACTGTCAACTTTGTATGCGAAATAAAAAAGAATTATTTAAAATTAAAAATTAAAAAAAGAAAAAATATATATATATATATATATAAACAAAAAAGTAAAAAATATAACTTCGTGCACAGAATATTGCCATACGTAATATAATATATAATATAATTATATAATATAATATATATATATATATAATATAATATAATATAATAATATAATAATATAANTAATATAATAATATAATTTTATATAATATAATATAATAAAATATTTGTTTTTGTTTTCTTCTTTTTTTTTTTAAATAAATTCTATTTTAAAAATCAAAAAAGTAAAAAATTTCGTTTTTATATCACTCTCTATCTCTCTTTGAGCAAAGTAGTACTATAACGAATTTTTGTAAATATAATTAAAAACGTCTAAAAAAAAACAAAAAAAAAACAAAAAAAAACTAAAAAAAAAAAACCTAAAGAATAGACGGGACGAATGTTGTTTTTTGTTTTTGTTTGTTTTTTGTGTTTTTTTTGTTTTTCTTTGCATCTATCAATAATAATTGCCCTTATAATTCCTAAAAAGATTCATTAATACGAATAACCGTTTTTTTTTTTTTTATTATTCTCTCTCTCTCTCTTTTTTTTCTTTTTTTTTTCGTTTGCACTATCCAACCGAATTTATCAAAATCTGATGATAGAGAGATTAATACATTCGCAAATACAATAATATTATTTTTCGATTCAGCACACGGTTCTACGTGTGTGTGTGTGTGTGTGTGTATTACGAAGAAAAAAAATATAATTCATTGTATTTTCTCTCTCCCTACAATATCTCCCCCCACCTACCCCTAAACCCCGTTCGCGTATGCACCCCATGTGCACATCTTCTCATCTTCATCTTCATCTTCATCTTCATCTTCATCTTTTTCTTCTTCTTCTTCTTCTTCTAACTAGCTTAGTTTTTTTCCATATATATATTAACACCAAGCTTCTCACAAAAATATGTTTTTGTTTTTTCATACATACAGTAAGTATGGCAAGACTCTTAAATCAGGCTCCTAATCTAAGTTTCTCTTACTGAAATTATAGTTTATGTATGCACTTCAAAACCCATACTATTATTATTAATTATTATTATTATTATTATTATTATAATTATAATTATTATAATTATTATTATTATTATAGTGTGTTGTCAACGTGTCTGTTTTCTCGATCCTTGCTCGTATATCACATTTAATTCATGCTATATAAAATACGATTCTCTCTCTCTCTCTCTCTCTCTCTAAAGAGAAAGTGTTGTTGAACGGAATTCTGGACACATCCTTCAAACTGTTTCTTTTCTTTTCATTCATTCATTCATTTTGTTTGTCTTCGTTGCGCCCAAGTATTTTATAATAATTATATCGTGGATGCAAGAATTCATGGTGTGTATAATGTTTAACCCTTAACGCTCAGACGGTCATTTGTGGTTTATCTATCGGCAATTCCAACTTGTTCCACAATTGGAATAAAGCGCCGTAAGTTGGGTGGTGCTTGAGGAGGCACACTTGGAGTAGAACGTTGCTTCATTGATGGTGCCTGGGAGAGACACACACACACTAGGAGCGTTAAGGGTTAAATATTATAATAATCATTCGTATATTAACGAATGACTTTGTTTTTTTTATATAAAGGATGCAAGAAGCAGAACATCGTTTATAATCACTTTTTCAAATGAAATGTATGTAGAAAACTCACTATGTCCGAGCCACATGAAATCGTTGAAACTCTGTTCGAGGTGAGGACAATCGTGTAGCTTCATAATGTTACCTCTTAGTTGAGGTCTTCCCCTGCTCTCAGAAATCTTTAACGTGTCCTAGAAAGCCGAGCTCGTGCGTCTGATAATGGCTGGGTGTAGCAAGCGGAGTAACGTTCGATTGGTGCGCCACATTGACTGCGGCCAAATGATGATGATGCAAAGTATGATGCGAAGTATGAGTATGAAGAATGTTGTTTGGATGGGGAACTTGAAAGTTCCCTGGTGGCGGGGCTCAGGATAGGAGAGGACCCGGATGCCCGCCTGGAAGAACGGACGATGCTGAAACGGTTGTCGTTTGCATACTGGATACATTATTCTGTTGTTGATTTTGTTGAGTACCTAAAATAAAAATACAAATATTGTTATATACCAATTGAATGATACAACTAGATTAACCCGTTTTCTTTGTAGACAGATAATAGATAGAATGAAATATGAAATTTCATATTATAAGATCTGTCGAAGGTCGAATTAGTATCTTACCAGCGTTCTGACTTAATTCGGCTTTCACTCTCCTAGCAATATGACTCCTAGTATGTTTTCGCAAATGATCTTTTCTATAAAAGCCTTTACCGCACTCCGTACACACATGACGTTTCTCGCCAGAATGTATTACAAAGTGTAACGTCAATTGTTCTTTTCTCTTGAAAGCTTTCAGGCACACAGTGCAGACGTAAGGTCTTTCAGGATTATGACTTTGTTTGTGACGCGTCAAATGATCTTTTCTTTTGAGACCAGCTCCGCAAATGTCACAAACAAATCTTCGTTCCATAGTATGACCCAATAAATGTTGTTCCAGCAATTCTCGTTCAGGGTATGCCATATGACACTCTGGACAGCAATAAAGTGTTGAACCATCTAAAGCGGTGGTCAATCGAATTTCCCCAGGTTTTGGGCGTGGTTTCTTTTCCTTTGGTGGCTTCTTCTTCTTCTTTTTCTTATTGTTAGGTGACATCATGATATTAGGCGTAGTAGTGGTAGCTACTGCCACCGATGTTGTCTGCGCCATTTCAGATTCCTTCTTTATACTCTCTGCGGAATATTTGAGAAAATGATGTAAGCTAAGCGGTAAAGTACTGGCTGGTAAATGACTGAGGTAATCGGCAACGGTTGAGCCAGGCGTTGCAAGGGACTGCCAGGTTGCAGGCATCGTGGCAGGTGTTTGAGTGTGAGCGTGCTGTTGATGATGTTGATGCATCGTATAGTCCTGTTGTCCACCATTGGTAGCTGCGTCCCCGTTGCGCTGCTGCTCATCCCCCTTCTTATCCTTGCTTTTGTCCTTATCCTGTAGGAGATTGCAAACGTCCTGTTGATTTATAGTCTCGGTGGCTTGCTAAAAATTGGGATCGGCCATGGATTATTAGAGCTCTGAAGACCGTCCGAGTACGTCTGTAGATATTCAGAGTCTAACAAAAAGGGGGACTAGAGAGAGAGTACGACAAAAGATGTTACCTGATGATACGAACGTTTCTCTTGCATCCCAGGTGAATTTGAGGGTCTCTGTTGCACCGGTTGAGCTTGAGAATATGGCACATTGGGATAATGATGGACGTTGCTGTTTGGATAATTAGCCTTGTTGTTCATCATCACTTGCGATTGTGGAGTCTGTACGCCGTTGGTCTCAGGACGGTACTTTCCCATAACCGGCACTCCGATTGGAGGCTGGTTGGGAAAATGATTAGCGTAACGCGCGCTAGCACCACCGGAGCCGTCGGTCGCGAACTGATGGATACTCGGTATAGTGCCGGGAAAGTGGCCTCCGAACGGCGGGAAATTCATTGCAAACCGTCAATCATATACCTAAAACGTTCATAAAATCGTCAATACAAATTCACGTAAGTATTAGGATGTGGATGAGAGGGTGGAGGAGCAGGAGGAAGGGGAACACTGTATGCAGGGAAGCAAGGGAACGGGTAGGGAGCTGGGAGGAAGGGGGAGAGACAGAGAGAAAGAAAGAAAAGAAGAGAAGCTGCTCTTTGGATAAAGAAACGAGGATAAGAGAATAAAGTTTTCAGGCGCGGTCACGCACTCCGAACCGTCAGCGTCAAGTTTTAGTCAAGAGACAGAGAGAGAGATAGAGAGAGAGAGAGAGAGAGAGAGAGAGAGAGAGAGAAAGATATTTACTCACAGCAACGACGTCCCTTTCCCCATGGTTTCCTCGTCGTCTCTCGTTGGTCGAGCACTTTTCTCGGGGAATTCACCTCCCGTCGAGACAGATAGACAGACACACAGGATTACGACGCGAATGATCACGGTATATTCCCTTTCTCCTAGTTGTACAAACGGTGATTGTCTTTCTCTTTACTACTCCCTTTGCTCGCGAGACTACAGCGTGAGGATAATTTTTATTGTCGTCGTCGTCGTCGTCGTCGTCGTTTCGTTGCGTTGCGTTGCGTTACGTTACGTTGGAATTGCGTTGGGTTGTCACCACCGTTACCGTTGTTGCCGTCGTCGTGGTCGTCGTGATCAGTGGTGGTCAGTTTAAAGTTTTTTTTAGGAATATAACGCGAGGTGTATTTTATTCGAGATCGAGAGGATCCGGCGCACCGGGAAGTGCACGGCTTGGAAGAACGTACTCTCCGGACGGTGGGGAGAAGGGAAAAAACGAAGAGCCTACTGTGTAGCGGCCGGGATCGTCGCGACGCGGCGACGACGGCGGGGTGGCCCTGTCGAAGGGAGTGAGACAACGCGAGACCGACAGAAAGAGAGAGAGAGAGTGAGAGAGAAATTGAGAGTACGAGAGAGAGAGAGAGATAGAAAGGGATGGGGAGAATGATCGTTAGGGGGATGGGCAGGGCTTGCTTGCTTGCTTGCTTGTGTGTGCGGAAACTCGAAGGAAGACGAGACGACCCGAAGAGTCAGGGGGGAGGGTAAACGCGAAGAGGACTCCTAGCGTGGCTAAACGACTGAGAGAGAAAGAGAAAGGACGCCGCTATGGGGGAGAGACTTTCAAAGAGAGAGACAGAGAGAGAGAGAGAGAGAAAAGGGCAAAGGGAAGGAGGGGGGAAGGCAGGCAGGCGTCTTTTCCCCTCTCAGCGCGCCCGCCCGCGCGCGCCCCCAGTCGATACGCGGGGGCCGAATTCGCACGAAATTCAGCAGAAAATGGCCGTGCACGGGAGCTTTCCCCGACGCTCTCCCGAGGTTCGGGACAAAAAGAGAGAGAGAAAGATAGATAGATAGATAGATAGAAAAAGAGAGTGAGTGAGTAAGAGAGAGATAGATAGATAGATAGAAAGAGAGAGAGAGAGAGTGAGTAAAATTTCTCTTCTCGCGTTGCGGCCGCCGTTAGCTTACCATTTATCTCAGCTGGCACACCACCTTGTGCACGCCGCGTTCTCTCGTATTAAGGAAGCTTGATTTTTCCACTTAGATGAAAATCCCAAAATCCTTAGGGCCTGGAGGAAAAAAAGGATGCCCAGTGACGACGTAGTGTGCGTACCGTTGACACCTGTCCCTCAAGTCTCGGCGCCCCCACCCCACCCCACGTCCGCCCTCTACTGTACCAGCCTCTTAACTATTTTTTCTCTCTCCTGGCCCTCCTCCTCCTTCACCACCTCCTCCTCCTCCTCCTCCTCTTTCTCCTCTACCTCTTCATTCTCCACCTCCACCTCCTGTTCCTCCGCGACCGCGCCGGCGAAAATACCCGAATCCGTTGGGGTTTTAACTTCGAATCGCTCCCGGCGACCTGCCATTACGTTCCTCTCCCACCCCCCCTACCCCCCATCCCTTTCTCCCCCTTTGCAACAACCTCTTTCTTTCTCTCCCTCTCTCTCACTCTCGCCATCCTTCTCTGTCGCTCGCTCCAAAGATACTAACGTGAAATCGCGTTTTCGATCGTGAAATCTTCGATTATCGATTCTAACTCTAACAAAAGAGATTCATCTTCGATATCGAGATAATACTATTGTTTTTCGATATTACAAATATTTTACTATATAATATTCTATTTATATGTATGCATGATATATTTATATATATTTATATATGTGTGTGGATGTGTAATATGTTTATAGTATTATTATATGTATATTTTTTTTTTCATCGATTTAGGTTTCTTTTTTTTACAATAATTGTTATTTTATTTTGTTTTGTTTTTTGAAATTTGCCACAGGTAATTTAACATGCGCGCGCATTTGACGAGCATTGGCGCGAAATTTGACCGAGCAATTCGTTGTTTTATTTTTGTATTAAATGTATTCTTTATTTTTCTCCTCCAATATTTATGTAAGTAACAATGAAAATGACTTATAAACTATTCATAATTTCTACGATAATAATAATAATTAATAATAATAATTAATAATTAATAATGATAATAATAATAATAATAATAATAATAATGAGCTATTTAATAAAGAAATAATAATCGTTATCATCATAGTAATAATAAAATAATAATTATATTTCTTTTACAACTATATTTATCCCGATTCCTGTTACCTTATACTTACAATGCGATTTTTTTTTTTGTTTCTTTCTTTCTTTTTTTGTTTTCTCATGAAATGTGTTTCTCCCATCTTTTTTTTTTTTGTTTTGTTTCATTAATAATATACATTCGCTTCTACTCAACAACAACTTCCCGAGTTATTTAAATTTCGTTTTCATTCAATCTAAACGATTACTTCCTTCTTTCTTTCTTTTTTTTTCTTTTTTCTTTTTCTTCAACGAAATATCGTCGTCATACTTTTTTTCTTCGAGATAGATAAATTATTATTACAATTGTGTGCTTTGAAAAAGAAAAAAAAAATATTCCATTTCTAAATATGACGATGTAACGACATAAAGGAAAGCATCTTGTCACTTAATCCTTCGTATAAAAATTGTACAATTTTAGTTGGTTTTTGGTTCATTCCAAAAAAAAAAAAAAAAAAAAAAAAAAAAAA